AGGTGGATTCTTTACTAGCTGAGCTACCAGGAAAGCTAAAGTCTACTTTGCCTGGTTATTAATATAGACACTGCAGCTTGCTTTTGATTATTATTTGTATGGTATATCTTTTTACATCCCTTTCCCTTTTTTAAGTGATTAAAAAATCACATAACATTGATGATCTTAATCATTTTTAAGTGTATAGTTCAGAAGTATCTTCATGTTGTTTTGGAACAGATCTCTCCAGAACTTTTTAATGTTTTATTTACTTTATATTCTAGTTTTATTGAGACACAGTTGATGTACAGCAGCACTGTAGATGTTTATTTACAGTATGTAGCATAATGATATGACTTCATCATGAATTACCACAAATTTAGTGAACATCATCATCTCATATAGATACAAAAAATAAGAAATAGAAAAAAATACTTTTCCTTGTAATGAGCACTCTTAGGATTTACTCTTTTAACAACTTTAATATACAGGCTTTCCTCATAGCTCAGTTGGTAAATCATCTGTCTGCAATACAGGAGACCCGGGTTTGATTCCTAGGTCGGGAAGATCCCCTGGAGAAGGAAATGGCAACCCACTCCAGTGTTCTTGCCTGGAAACTCCCATGGACAGAGAGCCTGGTGGGCACAGTCCATGGGATCACAGGAGTCAGACACGACTGAGTGACTAACAGTTTCAGTTTAGCGACTAAACCACTACCACCACCATATATAATGTACACTCCAGAACTTTTTCATCTTGGAGAACAAGAACTCTATATCCATTAAACAATTCCCTCGCTGCCTCTGGCAACTACCATTTAACTTTCTGCTTCTATGAATTTGACTGCTTTGGATACTTCATGTAAGTGTAATTCTGTAGTATGGGAGCTCAGAGAAGTCCCAACAATTTTTTCAAGCAACCACACCTTGCTTGAAAGTTTCACTTGAGGAAGATAAGGTAATATTCTAGGGCAGGAGTCAAAGAACTCTTTCTGTAAAGAATCAGTAAACATTTTAGGTTTTGCAGACCCAAGAGGCAAATTGAAACTCTTCGGTAGCTATTTAGATGACAAGAGAGAAAACAAAGCTCCCCAAATTTCTTATTGATGAAATTAAAAATAGAAACTGACCACAACTTTTTTGGTAATACAAGTCTCCTAACAAGAACAGAATTCTCCTCAAGTGGAAGAGTCAGACACCATGAGTCTCCTGACAGGACAGGCATACCTCGTTGCAGAGCACAGGCTCAGCTGCTCCGACGTCAGTCGCTGTGGCACGCGGGGTTAGTTGCACCATGGCATGTGGAATCTTCCCAGAACAGGGGTCGAACCCATGTCCCCTGCACTGGCAACAGATTCTTACGCCAAGACCACCAAGGACATCCAAGAGTATCTCTTGAACATTTACTGAAGAGTGGAACTCCTGGGTCATAGTATGAAGCTAAAGTTTACAAAAAAGGTCATACCATTTCTCAAAGAATAAATGAAAGTAGGTAAATAGGAACAATTAAAGTTAAGATTAAACATCTGTAAATATTAGTCAAGCCTTCTTTTATGTTATCTTCATCGGACATAATTATTGACTTATTCTTTATGTGGTTAAATTCTGTACTTCAAGTTTCATCTTAAGAGCATTTCCCCTATGTAGCCTATTCTGTGTGGCCCATCCAGCGTTTTTCCCTGTCACATTTTCTCAGTAAATGTATTAATATAAGCTATACTAGCCTATGATTTCATTGCTTTTACAGTACCTTGCAATTATTCTTTAGGTTACTGTTACCTACATTTTCATCCTAACGTACACTTTTAATTTTTAAGACTTGAATAACATGTCTCATCTCCACCATATTAATAGCTACTTCTCAGTTAAAAACTAGCAAAGGAGGGTATAATTATATGTCTATGGAGGAAATGAAAATTGGAAGGGCTCATGTAATTAACTGTACATAGTATGTATGTGTAGTTCATACACAGTGGGAAAGACTTATACATGTTTAGAGATGCAATAAGATTCCCTTGAAATTTTTGTTATGCATAAAGCTATGTCAAGTTATGATGCAGAAACCCAATTCAGAACCCAATCAACAGAGATCACAGGTGGTTTTTTTTTTTTTCCCTATAGGGAGTTCATTTACACAGATGGATTGAGTTTTTTAATCTGCTTATATTTCCCTTTTTGCTTTGGTTTGTGGGAAGCTTGAAGGTAGATTTCTGGCCCATTTTTCATAATTCTTGTATGTATTTTTGTGTATTGACTTCACTCTTGCCTTCCTTTTTTTGACCAGACTGCATGGCTTGTGGGATTTCAGTTCCCTGACCAGGGATCAAACCCAGACTCTCCATAGTGAAAGCACAGAACCCTAACCACTGGACCACCAGGGTATTCCTTCCTTTACTCTTAAATGCCTTCTATTTGTTATATATATATGTATGTATGTATATATTTGGTAATTTATCTCAAATCGTTTCTAGAACACACCAAATAAGTACATGAATCAATACACACACACACACACACACACACAAAGGTGAATTAAATCAAATGCTTCTGTAATTTGCAGTATGGGTGCTCACATCTGTGTTTCCCACTGCCCTCTCTCCTGAGGTTCACCTGGCAGCCTCCTGCTTTCCTATATCTGAAGTTTGTAAACTGTGTTGCCTTGTTCGGTAGCCTGAGTGGTGGGGCTGCTGTGTCTGCTTCCTTTTCTCTTTCTCCCCCAACCACCAAGGCAGTCCTTCAGTATTTGGCATCTAGACTTTATTTCAAGGAAGAGGTTTGATGCAGAAAAGAGTGCAAGGTTGTCTATACACAGACAATACACATGCATCAGCTGATTGTGTTCACACATCCTTTTGGGGTGTGGCTGCCTCATAACGTCACATATTCCTCCAGAGTCGAGGTAGGTTGTGGGCACATCATCAGGTCTCTAGCTCTGCTTTTCTGAGAGCATCTCTAAATAAGCAGATGACTGAACATTATCATAAGATACATACAAACCTGAGAAGTATTTTACAGGATGAAGAAGAAAGATGACTATTTATCTAAATTATATTAAGGGAGTCATAAATACAGGAACTAGTAAATCACTAAAGTTAGTGAAAACTAAGATCATAGCATCTGGTCCCATAACCTCATGGCAAATAGAAGGGAATAACTGGAAACTGTGACTGATTTTCTTTTCTTGGGCTCCAAAATCACTGTGGACAGTGACTGCACTCATGAAATTAAAAGATGCTTGCTGCTTGGAAGTAAAGCTATGATAAACCTAGACAGTGTATTAAAAAGCAGAGACTTCACTTTGTCAACAAAGATCCGTATACTCAAAGCTATAGTTCTCCAGTAGTCATGTATGGATGTGAGAGTCAATCCATAAAGAAAGCTGAGTGCTGAAGAATTGATGCTTTTGAACTGTGGCGCTAGAGAAGACTCTTGAGTCCCTTGGACAACAAAGAGATCCAACCAGTCAATCCTAAAGGAAATCAACCCTGAATAGTCATTGGAAGACTGATGCTGAAGCTGAAGCTCCAGTCCTTTGGCCACCTGATGTGAAGATCCAATTCATTGGAAAAGACTCTAATGCCGGAGAAGGTTGAAGGCAGGAGGAGAAGGGGACGAAAGAGGATGAGATGGTTGGATGGCATCACCGACTCAATGGACGTGAGTCTGAACAAAGTCCAGGAGGTAGTGAAGGACAGAGAAGCCAGGTGTGCTGCAGTCCATGGGGTCTGAGTCATATACAACTTAGTGACTGAATGACAACAACAAAGGTAAATTACAAATTCATTTTTGTCATTAGAAAGTAGATATAACTATTGTGATTTAATGATACACTTAAGTGTATCAAGCCACAAAGAAGGAAAGCAGTCCTTTGGCTTCTGTGTACTTGGATATATGTTGCATGTGCTGCACATGTGGCAGAGGTCTGGGCGTCTTGGTAGCTGTTGAGTTCCAGGGTCCATTCTGGTTGCTTCTCCCAAATGGGGAAGGAGGTGTCCCCTATATATGGATACAGACATTCCCACTGCCTTATTTTCTCTCTCAGTAGCTTGTTCCTATTGAGACAATGACACGTTACTGTGTTTTGGTGGGTGTACTCTTAGACTGAGTTTCTTAAGGATCAGGATTGTGCGTTATTTCTCTCTGCATCTCTAGAACCTAGTATATGCTTGCTACGCTATGCTGTGCTTCATTGTTCAGTCATGCCCAACTCTTCGCAACCTCATGGACTGTAGTTCACCAGCTTTCTCTGTCCATGGGGATTCTCCAGGGAAGAATACTGGAGTGGGTTACCATGCCCTCCTGTGGGTGATCTTCCCAACCCAAGGATCAAACCCAGGTCTCCGACATTGCAGCTGAATTCTTTACCATCCAAGCCACCAGGGAAGCCAAGTATATACTTGGCACACCAGAAAACAATTACTGCTATATTTAAAATGGATAACTAACAAGAACCCATTGTACAGCATAGGGAACTCTGCTAAATGTTATGCGGCAGCCTGGATGGGAGGAGGGTTTGGGGGAGAATGGATACATGTATATGCACGTCTGAGTCCCTTCATGGTTCACCTGAAACTATCACAGCCTTGTCACAGGCTATATCCCAGTACAAAATAAAAAGTTCAAAAGAAAAAAAGAAAATTAGATGGGAACAAGAATACATGAGGTCAGATCTCACAAGTACCCTGCTCTTCCAGTTACTATGTTTAATTATTCAGCCACGTATTTGGAAGCTTTCTACACATGAGACTTGTGTAGTGTTGTATAACGCTCGTTAACATTGGATAACGAACTTCTGGAATGCCTGTGACTTAATAGAGAGCCCAACCTAACATGGCTAAGCAGGAAATACAAGCCTTAGTGGACAAGGCTTCTTAGGGCTGTCTATCTTCCTCTCAGAAAGAGTAACTTGTGGAGAGTAAAACTTGGTGTTTCCCCCTTCACTCTGAGGTCAGGAAAGAAAGAGGAGAAGGCACATTATAAACCCACCGCCCATACTCACCACACTTAACAGAATACTATAAATAACCAAATAATAAGCTTTAATTTAAATATGTTACAGTGGAACATAACAATTCTTTTGAAGTATAAAAATAACATTTTTTCCGTTTGCAAGTAGTCTCTGTGGCAGAGTGTAAGGAGCACACTGATGCTATGAATTGTACACGTTACCACTGCTGTCCCAAGCCTGGACCCTCTCTTCTCCATGCAACACTGCTCTGCAATCTTCAGGCCCCGCCAAAGGGCCAAGCTGCTTCAGAAGTAGCTATCCTTAATAACAGAATTGGGTAGTATCTCTCTTAAACTAGTCTCTATGGGGTATTGGGGGGGGGGGGGGGGGGGTGTCAGTTCTATAGATAAAAAAACTTTTTAAAAAGTTAATCTAAAATTCTGGAAGTTGCTCTTTTTGGAATGTCTGTTTTTTCCAGGAGACAGAAAAATGGCAGGGAGAAGCTGGAGTGTTAAGATCAGCAAGAGCTCATTTAAAAGTAAATCACCATTCATGGAAAAGCTTTCCAAGTATAGGAAACTTGAAAATAATAGCAACTAACTGGAAGACAAATTTCATTTGCAAGAACCACTGAAGAGGTCCATACATCTTTTTCTTCTGTCACGTTTCCTAATATTTTGAGTGAGGTAAGTAAGAATCACAAGGATTCTAAAGATTATGGCAGGTTCTGTCCAGATCTGATCCACCTAATAACTTAGATACTGAGAACCAACTAGTGAAAAAACTGAAACAGTAAACAGCTTTTGTATATAAAAAATGATGGTGTAATTTTGTTTTCAAAACTCAGCTATTCAGACCAGTTTATTTTGATTTGTGCTTTGACTTGATTAGATCTGGGTCTAATAAAAGACTGGAGAACTGGCCATTTTCCTGAGTGGAGATGGGAGAACCCTCTTAATTGTCCAGAAGGCAAAACCCTCTGCCATCACTGACCTTCTCACCTCCGCTGTGCCGACTTCCGCCATGTTCCCATCTCCATCCTACACAACTTCTTCGTCCACAGTGGATGTTGGGGCGGGTGGTGGAAAACTTGACACAGTGCTTATAGGAATTCTTATCTTTAGTGCTTCAAGGAATTGTGACTTTGAATTCTCCTGCTGGGTAGGAATGGCTCTGCACTTTCTGTATCTGTAATGCTGGTACCTTCAACTAGTAGAAACAAAGTATGTAATACAGAAACAAAATAACTTGGTACATAAAACGTCTAGCTCTATCTTCTGAAAATAGGTTGTGAGCCTAAAAATGCTCAGTTGTATAAGTTGTGTTGCGAGAGCTCAGCAACATTGGGCTGGAATATGGCTTAGGACAAAGTCCAGCCATTAGGGAATCCCTCAAAGAACTTTACATGATTCATATTCTATTATCATTACATTAATAAATAAAATAATCTCTGGAGCCCTACTTTCAAAAATTGATAGTTTACTTAGTGAGATATAGGAAGGAAAACCTAACCTGTAAGATTACCTAAAATACAATGGAGAAGTGACTGATGAGACCTGTATACTTTGTTTCCTGAATATCTTTAAAATGTTCCACACAGATTTTCTTCACATAGAACTCACCTTTTAAAAACTGCAATATACATGTTACTCTTCTGTAACATGTTATTATCATCAACAATTCAACTATCAAAAGAATAACCCCATAAGTCTATTATCTATTAATGCCTGGACAGTTTGATAAAGGGTCTTACTACCATTCTTAGAACCATGTAGCTATGTATAACTTATGTTCTCCTAAGATTCAGAAATGCATTACAAAACTTTTTATGGATTTCCCCAGTAACACAGTATCATGTACACAGATGGCTAAAATTAAGATGACAGAAATGATATGACCCTTGAGCAGTAAAGGCATCTGTTATTGCAACTTGGAGAAAATGCCATGGAATGCTAATAAATAAAG